CGGTAAAACCATCGAAATTAGTCCTGTGAAAATTTTGAAAATATAACGCTGGTTTTTGTTGTTTGACTTCTGAATTAGCAGATGTACTTGGAAGAACAAGCTGAATGACAAGCTGCTTTGAGAGCTGCTGAAATGCCTCCTAAACACAAATTCATTTAGAAGAAAAAGCTGAATGCCAAGCTCTCCAAATGCAGATCTGCTTGAAAGAACAAGCTGAACGTCAAACTGCTTTGAGAGCTATTGAAACATCTCTTCAAACACAGGTTCACTTGGAAAAACAAGCTCAACAACAGGCAGTTATTAGAGCGAGAGATATTTCAAAACATTTGCAGGCGAGAAGAATCGTTCATGCAAAAATGCAAACCGAACACCGGCGAAATTTCTTGCATAACAATTGGTCTGTATTTAATGATTTTGGACTTCAATACGATCCTTCAATTGATTACCGTAATCATCCATTAATTGCTATCAATTAGATGAGTAAAAAATGCCAGTTTTGCGATGCTTTAAAATGGAAAGATGAAACTGCAGAAATGTGCGGTTCCAATGATAAAATTTCGCTTTCTTTACTTGGTGAACCAGAAGAGCTGCTGAAAACTCTATATTTATATGATACAGATGAATCAAATTATTTTAAAGTAAAATTAGAAAGTACAACTCTTGCTTTCAAATGACATCTTTTGGAGTAGACAAAGAGATAAGAATGCCTGGGTTTTCACCAACTTATACCATACAAGGCCAGATATATCATTAAATTTGTTCACGTTTTCCAACAGATAATGAACCACATAAATTTTTGCAAGTTTATTTTATGGGTCAAGAAGAAAATGAAGTAAGACATTTTCAGTATATTGATGGAGTCAAGAGAGATATAGTATTGGAAATTGAAAGAATGTTACATGACCACAACGTCTTGATAAATACCTTCAAAATTGCATTAGAAAACTGGCCTCAAGGTGATTATAAAGTCTTCATTCATGCTGATCGAACTCCATGTGGCGAACATGAGAGGCGCTTCATTAATGCACCAACAATTATTGAAGTTCCTGTCTTGGTTACTGGAGACCCATGCTCTTCACAAGATATAATATTACGAGCACATGATAATACACCGACAAACGTAGCAGATACTTATAAATTTGATGGTGCTTTGCAGTACCCATTAATTTTTAGTAAAGGACAATTGGGATACCATTTTCATATTCTACAGATTAATCCAACTACAAAGCAGCCAGTTCCCAATAAAAAAGTTTCCTGTATGGATTCTTACGCCTATCATATGATGCTTCGAGAGAATGATTTCAACCTCCTTCCGCGGTCGAAACAGCTCTTTCATCAATTCTTAGTAGATATGTATATCAAAGTAGAGAGCGAACGCCTTTGTTACATTTCTTTAAATCAGACACAACTATGAGCTGAAAATTACATTCACCTAACAAGATGCAAATAAAATCATCTGCCCTGAAGATAAGGATAGTGCTGACAGATCAACTTCCAGTTCATTGCGCACTGCGTCGTCCTCCCCTCCCCCACCCACAGAGGAGCGTGAAATTGATAAAGGATATGCCTTTATCCATTTTTTGCAGCAATTCCACTTTTTGTTTGATGGACATCGAAACATGCTTTCGCTTTTTAGATCTTTGGTAGCTCCAGAATCGGAAATTCTTTTTGACATAATCGAAAGTTCAAGCTTACTTTTATAAAACTGTTCTAACAGTCTGCAAAAAATAATAAGCCGGATTCAATTAGAAGATTAAGTAACAATGCAATCTGCAACATTAACTGAAATAGTAATTAGATAATTTTTAGCTTATACTGTCTGTTACACATTAAACGCGCATGCGTAAATGTATTGTGCACATGCGTAAACGCATATGCACATGAGTAAAGGTATTATGCACATGTGTTAACGCATTATGCATTTTTACGCATGCGCAAAAAGTTTGAGGTGCAGATTATAGATCATTCCGGATTATGGACATCCGGATTAAAGACTCTTGACTATATATCAATAAAGGAAGCGACCAGGCAATCTTCAATCTGCGTAACAAAGGTATATTGCAGCCTCTGAATAAAATACAGACCAATCAAGCAGGGCGATATGTCAGTAGTAATGAGGCAACGTGATGGCTCCTTTTTTTTTTCGTTACATGAGAGATATCCGGCAGTTACACATCTTGCCATACATTTAGAAAATGGACAGCATGTTTATTTTTAATGAGAATAATTTTCAAGAAAGAATTTTATCTCCTCCAAAAACCACACTGACCGCTTTTTTCCAGCTCTGCCAGACAGATACTTTTGCGAAAAGATTACTGTATTCAAAAGTTCCCCTTTATTAAACATAGCATAACTGAAAAGAATGGCAATGTCACATTCAAGGTACGCCTGTTGAAAATTCGCCAGAGGTTAAATCATTGGATGCTCTTGGTCGTGTCTACATTGTCCGTGTAACGAATTTTGAATGTTTTTGTACTGCGCATTTTATTACATCATGTTCGAGATCCAACTAGCTTTAAAGACTTTAAAATTGTTAATAGCCTAGAATGTCAAACTTATAGAGAAGCATGTGAAGCTCAGGTTCTGGTAGAGAATGATAACCATTGGAATGAATCTGTGGAAGAAGCTGTACAGTGTTGATCACCAGATAAAATCAGGGAACTTTATGCAATCTTTATATCATCTTGCGGTCTTTCTAACGCAGAGACAGTATTGAAAATTGGCGATGGATATTTGACACAGATGTTGAAGGTTGTATTTTACTTTTAGAGGAATTTTGTAATTTGGTAGAAAACAATGTGGAGCTTATTGCTAAAGTTTACCCACACTTGCAACAAAATTTAAGTAGTGATCACTGATTATGTGCAAGAGCAATTCTAGTGCCGACAAATGAAATTGTAAACAAAATCAACATTGACATTTTGAAAGTGGTGCAGGGAGAAATAAAAGAGTATTTGTCAATAGATACAATCATGCATACAGAAAAAAGCACTTCATATCCTGCTGAGTTTTTAAATTCACTAGAGCTATCAGGTGTACCTTCACATAAACTAAAATTGAAAATAAATGTACTGGTTATGCTATGCTTATGCGAAATATAGATGCACCTCGACTGTGTAATGGAACGAGGCTTCGGATCACACAATTAGGGCAGAATATAATTGGTGCCCTATAGGAAAAGGGGAAAGTGTTATCATACCTTGAATCCCAATTTCCACCGACCTACCATTTCACTTTAAAAGACTGCAGTTTCCAATAAAACTTAGTTTTGCTTTTACTATTAACAAAGCTGAATGGCAAACATTACAGGTAGCAGGGGTGCATTTGGAAAAGTCATGCTTTTCCCATCGTCAACTATATGTTGCTTGCTTGCATGTATCCAAAGCCAGGAATTTATACATATTAGTGCCGAATGGGAAAACATATAGTATACAGAAGCATCCTAGAAAAATACTCTTATTCGTGCTCTTCTGAAAAAGAATTAATGTTTTTAACATTTTGTTAATACTTAACTTTTTGAAATCTTGCTAATGAAAATTATTTATTTTTATAGTGAGAGATAACTCAATAAAGCATATTTTTCAGTTTTTTAAGTTATATTTTATTTTAGAATTTTTTAGTGAAACAAACAAACAAACACCCCCCCCCCCCCGGAAAAAAAAAGATTGCAATGTTTGATATATCCAAATCGGATTTAAAAATTTTGCGGAATAGTGTCTTAGCAACATCAATACGGATTTCTTATTATCTCAATGAAGAAGGTCAGTATTTACCAAAATTTTATGCAGAGTGTATTTTTAACTTAAAACATAAGTAATAGTGCTAAAATTTTATCCTGGTCAGGTTATAAGGAAAAAAAAATCAAATCAAATCAAAAATCTAATCAAAAATTTAATTAAATCAAAAATTTTAAAAAATCAAAAATTTCATTTCTCTAAAATTAATTACAGACATACATTTATAATCACAAGCATTTTAAAATAAATCAGAATTTTACAAAAACAGTTGCCGTGACACTTTTAGCAAATAAAGCACATAAAAGTCATTCAATCAATTTCAGTCTTGATTATATCAAGAACTTTCTTATGTAAAGATGGAAATTTTTGTTTTTATTTTCTTTCAGGGATGAATTTTTTAAAGTGCCAAAAAATTATTAATTTGTTGTTTGATTAAATTTTATTTATTTCATATTGGCAGCAAACAGTGAGGAAGGGGAAACTAGAGTATATTCACATACACACACCAGAAGTGATGCTAAATTACAACTGAAGGTATTTTACACATTCAGGGCATATCGATTTCTTCACATTTTTTGCAAGTATAGTAAGTTTGTCTTACATGGTTTAATGATACATCTTGGAAGATTTTTGAAGTTTCATTTTTGATAGAATAGTGTTTTGTATGATCTAGTTTAATTTCAGAAATGAAACAGTTATTATCACATATATTAAAACATTACTGGTGCTGCCATGAGTTGAGTTTTTTGTTTTTATTGTTAAGAGATTCTGCAATGAATAATTCTTCAACAGATTTTATTTTTTCTCCCACTTAAAATAATTTTAATTCAAAAGACATTTATGTGTGTGTCAGTATCCCTGAAAAAAATAAAATAATTGAAACATTATGAAAATTAAATTGACTGAAATTTTTACTTCTACCGAAATCAAACAAAAAAGTTGCATTTTATCTAACGGAAATCTTCTCACCTATGATTTTGAAATGGTTTTCATAAAATTTGTAATTGAAATAGATAACCATGATCAGTATTTGAGGAAATGAAAGCTACAGTATTCTTATTTGAAAAATGTGCATTAAGTTGATACCTTGCTTTGGTCTAACGTGAATTTCAATATATGAAAGAACAAATAATTCAAAATATTTAATTAATTCAAGAATTGAAGCAAATTTCTTTTAAAGTCATAAATTTTATATTTAAGAATATTTATTTTTAAAATGTTAATATTTTATGTATTATTTACTTTATATATTTATTTTTATAGTGAATCATTAATCGAGTTTTTAAACAAGGATTTATTAGAGTACATGATATCAGAATTGATAAATGGGAAATTGAGCTCTGCAATAATCATCTGGGAAAGACATAAGGTACTCATTAATAATAAACTTAATGAAGTCTTATGTATATTATTGAAGATGTGAATTTATATGTATTGTGTAAGAAATACAATGGGAATTCTGGTGCTCAAAACTTGAATGTGATAAATATTAAGTGTTTTATAATTACACAATTTAAAATTGTATGCCAAATGAATTCTGAGTTATGTATCTCATTCCATAATTTGTTATAGTTTAAAGTAAAACTGAAAATTTTTATTTTTCATTTAATTTTTATGGTTGCATTTTAATTGTTTTGTAATACTCTTAAAACTTTGTGTTATGTTATAGAATTTTTCTTTCAACTTCACATTTGTTGTTAAATTCTCCAATGACTTCAATTACTGGTCAACATTACTGGTGTTAAGTCTTTTTGCTGGAAAAATAATAATTCTGAAATTATATTTAATTACATGGTGTGTATCACACATAAAATTTTTGGCTCTCTCTAATTATCTTCGCTCTTCTCAAAAGTATATTTTAATGCAAAAATTCATTATCATAGTTCTGATTGGAAAAGAAATACCCTGATGTAAAATTTAAAAGTAATAACCAACATAAAAGCAATCTTAGGTTAGCATAGATTTTTAATAAAATTCTGTTGGTTTTGAGAGTTATTAAAACTTTTTCAGAAGCAAACATTTTTTATGAAGGCTGTAAGAGCTATAATCATTTTATACAAAATTTAGGAGGTGAAGCAAAGCAAAAATGAATTTTGCACCACTCACTGAGAAAAACAGTAATAAAATATGTAAAAGCTAAGATAAATTTTGTGAATTTGTGAAGGGAAATTTGATTCAACTGAAAACCTATAGAACCAAAGCCAAAATTGTGATTAATGTCCAACTATGGTTTGAAGTTTGAAATTTACGTAGGTCGATCAAAAAAAAAAAAAGTTTACAAGCAGAAGCATTTGAAATGTAATAATTGTGGAGCGAATATTTCCACCCAGGGTGGTTGACAGATCGGGCTAGTTGTCCTACAGAAGTTCTACGAGTAAGTAGCATCAGTATGCAGACACTTAAGAGCAACAGTAATGGCACAACGTCTAGAAAAATGGTCTCGCATAGAGGTGCGATCCGTAATTCGATTCTTATGGGCCAAGAATGTGGCCGCATCCGAAATTCACAGACAAATCATTGAGGTATACGGTGGCAAAGCAATGAGTAGACAACAGGTAGCGAAATGGTGTCGTTCTTATCAAGCGGGCAGGGAGCATGTGGAAAACCGCAATATGGAAGTGAGCGGCCGTCCAAGTTCTTCAAGGACGGATATCAACACGGCTTGTGTTGAAGAAATCGTCCAAAGGGATCAACGAGTAACTGTGCGTGAGATTGCCTCAGAGTTGGACCTGAGTGATGGTATGGTAACGTTCAGCGTATCGTAACCGATGAGTTGCGATATTCCAAAGTTTGTGCCCGCTGGGTTCCACGGCGTTGTCCGCGGAGCATAAGGACCACTCGAATGATGTGCAGCCTCACATTTCTTCAGCGATACCATTCAGACGGCCAACACTTCATTGATCACATCGTTACCGGTGATGAAACATGGCTTCATCACTTCACCCCCACATCCAAAAGAGCCACGATGGAGTGGAAACACGCTGGATCACTGACGAGGAAGAAGTTTAAGGTCACACCCTCTGCCGGTAAAGTGATGGCAACCGTTTTCTGGGATACGACTGGTGTTATCCTAATCGAGTATTTGAGCGTGGCCATACCATTAAGGCCGATCATTATTGTGCCACCTTAACGAAATTGCGTAAAGCCATCCGCCGCAAACGGCCTGGATTATTGAGCAAAGGTGTCATTCTTTTGCATGACGATGCCAGGCCCCATACAGCTTGCCAGAATCAGGAATTGCTGCAAAGGTTCAAGTGGGAGGTCTGGAATCACCCTCTTCCCCATACAGCCCCAATTTGGCTCCAAAGTGACTATTTCATTTTTACGGCGTTGAAGCGATACTTATCTGGAACACGATTCACTTCAGACAATGCAGTGAAAACAGCTGCCGAGAAATGGCTCAATGAGCAGGGCCCTGATTACTACCAAGACGGGATAAACAAGTTGGTTGAACTTTCTGAGAAATGCCTAAACAGGTTTGGCGACTATGTGGAAAAGTGAAGGCCAGATGTGTCTCTTGATTCCCATTTGTATCTTGTTTCTATTGTTAATAAATACATTTTTCATTTGCCCTGTAAACTTTTTTTTGGATTACTCCACGTATAAGAAAGGGACAGAGACAGTCAGCTATTTGAAAGCCATATCACACTACATGTATTGGTGCTAGAAATATTGTGCATGTAGTACATGCAAAAAACACAGCCACTCCAATGGAATGTTTTTCATTGATAATTATTAATGACATATTTGAAATCATTATGAAAGCTACCAGTTGGGAGATATGTGAAAAATGTACTAAGCATTCTATAAAGAATTTATCTACTGTTTCAAAAACTGAAATAAAAGCTCTGATGAGTATTTTACTTTTAAGTGATGATGATATTTTTCCAGTAATCTTTTGATGAACAATATATATATATATATATTTTTAAGTCTTAAATTAAACTACTTTTGAAGTAAAATGTTAGTAGTCATATTTTTTATGAATGATTAGCTTCAATGTTTTTCTATAGTAAGGTTAGTTTTCTAGGGCTAAACACAACCTATCAGTAAAATTTGTTGTTAAATTCTTAAAGATCTTCTCTCTGGTTTTAATTTTTGAGGAGCATAGTATACTTTAATGCATGTCCGCCAAACTATCTGTAAAGATAATTAAAATTTCATTTTAAAGAATGTAAATCTTATGTTCAAAAAGGAGAAATAAGCAAACCATCAATGGCTAATCATAACTTAGTACTTAATCACAATTCTGACTTTAGTTCTGTGAAAATGAGCTATACTTATTCATTTGATAAGCTGGATTAGCTATGATGCCTTTGACATTCGTTAGCTACTGCTCAACAGCACATTTTACCATTTGAACATGCCATTTCTGCATATATATGCAATAAAAAATCTTATTTTTACATTTTTCTCAGGGTGATACTTTTGAATCATCCTGAGTTACTACCAAGTTTAATCATTAGATTTTTAGATTGCAGAAAATTTATTGTTACATAATGCAAAAATGAGCATATATATGAACAGATACTAAGAAATTTTATGTTGCCAGTTTTTTATTATCACACAGCAGGAAAAAATAACAGATAGATTTTTGTAATAATATAATTTATAGAAATTATTACTTTAAAGCTGTGGTCAATAAAAAAGTGTTCTGTAATTAAGCTATTGATTATATGTACTGTATATGTTAATGTTTTTCTATTTTTAAATTGTTAGATTTCTGCAGAGTTTAGCATAAAACAACAATTTAAATTCAAAATTTTCAGTTTTTTCAATGTACATCAGTGTACATTTATTTATTAGCACTTTAAAATAAGTCCAACTTCATATACATCCTATTTGGACATGAAAAGTTTTGTTTGGTATACAATATATGTTTGGAATATGACTCAAATTCAATGATTCATGATTGTAGGCACTACCTTTGCTTACCTCTTTTGTGACAAGGACTAATTTTGTGCAAAAGTGCACTAGTAAATGTGCGGCAGCTACTGATGCCAAATCTGTAAAATGGCTACACTCTATTCAAGCTGAAATGAGGAGGAGGTTGATGAAGCCTCTACTGCTTTAATCAAGGAAATCTTTGCAAAATGGACGAATGTCAAAAAGTTTGTAGAGAAGTACCATCTTTACAACACTCAAACAAGCCATAATGCCATTGTCTTGAATGATCAAACAATGTCACATTTCCAAAACATCTTGAGAAGAGAGCAGAAGTAAAATTCTTTAGGCGTAATCCTAATAAAGGTAAGACCTGGTGATCCTCAGCCAGTTAAAGTAGGCATTGCCACCGTCACTACCATATAAAATTAGCCTCTTTTCAATTCTCCATTCTCTCTAAAACATAGTTTTTGTTCTATCAGACTTCAATATGATCAGTTGTGAGTTATAATTACAAAATGAGCTTGACAAGTGCTACCATCTGCTGGACAAATTAATAAATTATTCCCTACCAGGGGCCTTATAGAAGAAAAGAGATAAATAAATTTAGTAATTTTTCATTTATATACAGTATATATTTCACACATTACTTTTGTATTTTAGTATTTAATAGTGTTATAATAAAAACAACAGGTTTTTTTTTATGAGAATGGGTGAATTATTTTTCCTTTGTTTCATACTGAAAAAGTTCGATTGGTATACACCCAGTTTAGTATAAGGATTTGGAGCAAATTAATGATGCATATCAAGATGCTACTGTGTAATGTTTGCCTATTATATTATGAAATAATTGATGCATATCATTAAAATGTAAAACAGTAATTATAAGGTGTGCAGAAATGAAAGGGAGACCCTAACTGTAGTAATGTTGTATCAAATTCCAGTGAGTAATGTGTTAGCCAATAGATGGCGTTGTGGTATTCCCAGTTACACATGTGTAATTTATGGTTTTGCATCAATATCCTCATTTCTGGAGAGCTGTTCCCATAGTTTGTTGCATGATGGATTTTTCCAGATCAGTGCAAAGAGCAATTATCCAATTTCTTCTTGCAGAAGGGAAGCATGCTTTACAATTTATTTGGTGTAAATTCAACCAATTTTTATTTAAATTCAACCAAACAGTGCTACAATTTCGGCTTTAGAGGAGCTCATATGGCAGAACTGTTGGATCATCTCACGTGAAATTGCTGTTGAACTCTCAATAAGCAAAGGAACTGTGCATCATATAATCCACACACACACACACACACACAAAACAAAAGAAGAAAAAAAGGTATGACAAAGTTTGTGCACAGTGGGTACCCAAGCATCTGTCAGAAAATCAGAAGATGGCGAGAATGGGTGTTTGCTTGACCCATCTGTTGCGATACACTGTATCCAGAAACAGATTTCATTGCTGAGATTGTGGCATGTGATGAAACTCGGTGTCACTACTTGAACCTTGCCTCCAAATGGATTAGCATAGAGTAGTGGCATCTCAGCTCCCTTAGTCCAAAAAACCCCACTCTTCCCAGAATGCCAGAAAAGTAATGCTCAGTTTCTTTTCTGGAAAAGAAGGACCTCTACTCATCGACTGGCTACAATGGGCAATTAATACTGAGCAGTATTGCAGCATATTGCTAAGGCTTAAACAGACCATCAAGAACAAGTACAGGGGCAAGCTCTCAAATGGAATAGTATTTCTTCAGAGCAATGTTAGACCATATGTGGCCAAGAAGATTCTCGAGCTTCTTTATCTTGCAGGAAACTATAGCCTTCTTATAGCCCACATAGCTTTGCCCCTTCCTCCGAAAAAAATCTCTGAAAGGTTAGAGGTTCACATGTGACAAGGAAATGCAGGATGTTGGAAAACTGGATCTGTCAGCAAACCTGCAATTTCTATACTGAAGCCATCCACTCTCTTCTTACGTGCTGAAATTCAGTCTATCAATATCAATGGCAGTTATTTATAGTCGTACTGTTCCACATGAACTGTAATTATAATATAGTAGTTAAAATTTCTTTACATATAACTGTAGTCTCCTTTTCATTTGGGTGCATTCTATATATTTCTATGCATTTTGTGACATTTTATGTAATATTTTTTAAATGTTTTTTTTCTGCTTGTATAGTATATCTCAAAATGTACGTTAATTTTATGTTAAAACTTTACTAAAAATATTGTATGTGAGTTTAAATTGTGTACAAAGAGCTTAAAAAGTTCATTTCGTTTCTCAGAAATAATTCAGATGCACGTTTAATTATTAAGCTTCTTTCAGTATAATCACTGCCATTGTTAATGCATTTCATCAGATGACAGATCTATGAAAGGTACTGTCGTATCAAGAACCTTAGGGATCAGTATGATTTGAACTCCACCTTATTTTTCTGATCTGATGCCATCTAATATCTTGCTTTTTCCAAAAAGTCAAGGCTTATACTTGTGGAAAAAGCTCTGAGAGCTAAGACACAAGTAATAGAAGACAAGGACACCTGGTAGCTAATAGAGATAAACAGGTATTTGTTCTTTGCCCTCATCTACAGCCATCAGCTCTAAGAGCTGCTTCGAGAGTATAAGCCATAGAGAGATGGAAAGAAAGTTGCCATTAGAGGCTGCAAAATTGAGAAGCACAAGACAGATTTCAGAGCATGAATGAATGTAATGTGAATGCGTTTAATAATAATGTGTGTCATTTTGTAGAGTCAAGCTTCATCGCCCAGCTAACAGGAATTAATTGCAAACTACTTCGAAATTACATGGCCTTACAAGGCTTAGTGCATCTGAGTCATTTAGCAGACCTAGGTTAGAATACAAAAATATAACACAAAATTGTTACTATGCATACACTACACAGAAATATTGATCTGTGTAGTTTTCCATTTCAACTCAGATAAATACACTTATGTGTTTGCTATGTGAACTACACTAGATGGATGTTATGATAGATATTATGTAAATGCCCGATACACACTTACCTTGACTAAAGAAGAATGCTAAACTAAACAAAATTCATGATGCCGGCATACAATATTAAATTAGGATGCACATAAAAATCTGTTTGCATGCTACACAAAGCACATGCAATGTAATACATGCAATTATGCATCACATAAATATCTATGTAAACTACACTAAAGAGACATTAAACTAGAAACAAAATATTAAATTATATTGTAAGTAATAGTCTATATACATGCTACACAATGCAAACGCTATGTAGTATGCACAATTATGTATAACATAAATACCTATGTAAAATACCGTAAAACAATATTAAACTAAATAAAATACACAATACATAGGTACAATATGAGCAAAGACACAGTAGAATGGTCTAGGAGAAACTGGATAATTTAATAAGGAAAATTTTTGTGATGTTATGAAGTGGGGATTTATACTTTTAAAAAATGCAGGAACACTGAGGATAATTATGCTAGCTAAGTGTTTAGCTACTAAACTTTCAGAGGGTAAGAACTTAACCTAATTATAGTATCTATATTTTTTTTTTTATTATTAAACAGATTTTGGAATGTTTCTATATATATTAATTGCAGATTATTTTAAACAACTTTATATGTGTTAATTTAACCGACTTTTATCATTATAGGTTGAATTCCTCATTTCTTTCTCTGAGCAGAAGCTAAAAATGATTCTGGATTCAATTCCAAACAGTGTACCTTCACGACATTTAACTCCATTTCTTTCTGATGATTTTCTTCCTCCAGTCTTCTGTAGAATTCCAGAATCAATTGTAAGATTCCATTCATTTTTTGCAGATTAATGTATTCAAACCATAGTATGTCACTCTTGGAGCTAATTATAAAGTGGCATATTGACCAGAATTATTTCTGAAATGAAATTTAAAAAAATTATATTGAGATATTTTGATAAAAATCAGTAATCAAAGTGCAGAAATAAAGTAAATATTTTATTTGTTTACACATATATGTTTATTTAATAAATTATTATATTTATTAATAATTTTAAATAAATATAATAAATTAATAAATTTATATATATTTATTGTTTATATACTTCCTTGTATTAACGAGTATTGTAATTAAAGTAAAAAACAAATAAAGTATTAAGTAAAATAAAGTATTAAGTAAATGAAGTATTGTAATTAAAAAAAAGGGGGTATTATATTTTCAATAAAAATATAAATTTTGACCACTATCACCTCCACTTGGATGATGGTTTTTGCATGACATCTGTATGTATGGACAGAATAACAGACTAATTTCCCCAAAACAGATTGAAAAATGGATTCAAAAGAGATTTCTTTTGTGATGTCTATGCGTACATATGTATGTATGTATTTCACGTAACTCAAAAATGAGTAACCATTGAAAGCCAGAACATTGAAATTTTGTATATGGAACTGCTATAACATTTAGTTTTGCACCTCCCTTTCTTGGTTGCAAATCGACTGCAACAAAAGTATATAAATAAATATGTATATATTAGTTCAGATTATCTCAGTTCTTTTACTTCCTTTTACGAAGCAAAAAGGAAGTATTGTAATCGCGAAAAGTTTCAGGCAGCATATTTCAACAAAAATATCCATTTTGACCACTATTGAATGCAATTTAACGATATTTTTGCATGACATCTGTACGTAAGGACAGAATAAAAGACTTTTCTTCCAAAAAAATTGTAAAACTGCTTTAAAATGAATACTGAAGAGAATTTTTCGTGGTGTCCGTCCATACGTATGTATCTCGCATAACTTAAAAACGAGTAGCCTCAGAACGTTGAAATTTTGTATATAGGACTGCTATAACATGTAGATGTGCACCTCGTATTTTGGTTGCAATCGGAGGCACAAAACTTATAAAAATATTTTTATATATATCCACTCTGTCACCTGGCTCAGTGATCTCAGTTTCTTTACTCTTATATGTTTGTAAATTGTGCATTTTTTGCCTTAAAAATGATTGAATTATGTTGTATCATCCGGTTAAGGTTTTTATGTCTTTAGGAAATCTGCAAGCAATATTTGTAGAATTATCAACAATTTAAAAGCTATTTAAGTGCGGTTAAGCTTAATTTTTAAATAACATGGCGGACATGTTTGTTTATATTTGAAAAAGCAGAATAGTAGATTTGTTGCAAATCTAGAGAGACTAAGCTTTGCAACAATAAAGATAACACCTTCATTTATTATTGTGAATTAAATCATGCTTAATCCTTTCTGGAATTTTTTCGAGACGCAAAATGCCAAAACGAAATTAATAGCCCTTCTGAGCTAATGCTCCTTTGGGGTTATAACAATCCTCTTAAAAAGACAACAAATGAAATGCTATTGCTTCTTTTTTTCATGGTTTGGAGAAGTATTTTGCCTATCTGACGCCTTATATAAATTTATTACCCCATGGATCTCCTTTGTACTGTTAATGAACTGTTGTTCACCCTTCTGATTAGAAGTGTAACTGTGCTGACACCTGTATATTGGAATGTATCTAAAGACAATAAATTTTATGTCAATAAAAACTTTCAGATGCAGTGATTGAAAGTACTGTAGTTGAGCACAGAGTAACTCATGATACAGTAAAAAGATTGTAACGCTTTTTAAAAATTTTATTTCAACATATGCGATTGATTTGGAAGAAAATTATTGGACAAACTGAAGAAAATAAATAAGTTGAATAAAAAGAGAAGAAAGAAATATAGAAGGGGGGGAAGAAATCTTTCAGATTTTTATATTGCGTCCAAAGAGGATTTTATTTATTTATTTATTTTTAACATTTTATGTATTAACTTTATTTGTCAAATATCATGTTCTTTGTACTTAAACCACATAAAATTCAATTCAACAGTAATATAAAATATTTAAAAACAGCATCTCTGTAGAATTTCTGATAGACAGTCCCATGCGTTAGAGATAAAATATTTTTTTCTATACAGTGTTGCCCTTGCTTGCTTTGAAATTGTTGAGTTTGTTAATAAAAAAAAATTGTTTAAATTTTGCAAAATATGAAATATATAATAAAATAAATTCCACATACCAAATTTGGGCTTCTAGGTGACCATGTTCGGGTGGAGGATTATGTTATTCAAAATCTGATGTGTCTAAGTATCGTTGTTTTTTCACAGAACGAGAAACATACATACATTCATGCAGATTCTTCATTATTTAATTTCTTTAAATATAATACAGGGCAATAATATTTGGTGTGCAACAATTTAAAAAGTTATATGTATTGTTTATAGTGAACCAACGCAAAATGCTGTTTTCTGGGCTAATTAAAGATTTACGAAATTTAAAAAATGATATTAGAAAAGATGCAGAGTTGAAGCAAAAATTGTTAGAAAAAGACATAACAAAGAAACATCAATACATTATGTAATTGTTGTAAAATCAAATTTATTTTTCTAGCTAGGACTTTTTTGGCTAGTTTTTTACCAGTGTAATTTAGAAGTCATCATACTGCCTGGCTGTATGTTGTGATAAAGAAACTGCATTTATAAAACTTTTTTTTTGCATCCATAATAACTTTCAGTTCTGTGGTATTTCAAACAAAATTAATGAACTTTCAGTTCATTAATTTTGTTTGAAATACCACAGAAATAATATTCATTATGAATAGTGTGGTGCTTCCAAATTTAATATTTCTTTAAAAACCATAACCATTTTTTTGAATGGTTCAGGTCAGGGGTTCTCAACCGGTGGTATGCCTACCACTGGTGGTACACAAGAGGAAAATAGTTGGTAGGCAAAGAAGCAAAGTATTTTTAACTTAAATTTAAAAACTAAACCCCCTAAAATTCTGATATAGTTTTTTCTCTAACACTCTTAAATTTATTCGATTTGAGCTTTCTCCAAGAGTGGTGGTAGTAGTACTTTGTAGTGGTGGTACTAAAGGTTTTTAATTTTTTGTTTAGATGGTACACATTAGTCAAATGGTTGAGAACTGCTGGTGAAATACATATTTCCTTTAGATATTTCTTTCATTTGTTTCACAGTCAAGAGTAAAATAAATTGGGGTTTGTGTTTGTTTTAGTAATTTTATTGTATTTTGAGATAAATGTATGAAATTATTAAGTCACTTATATTTAATAGGATGACTACTTTATCATGCTGGTTGAGATAAACAATTTAATTTGTCATGAAAATCAAGAAGAGTTGGAAGAATTTTAATTTTAATAGGATCAGTATCGTAGAAGTTTTCTGGTTTTGCTTAATTAAATTATCGAATTCACGATGTTTCTAGTTCCTTGAAGTTTTAATAGTTATGTTCTTCTTTTCTCCATTTTGCCCTAAATTCCAAGATTTTTCTCTGACAAAGAAATTTACATCTTTTCTAATACTACTCTTCTTACGCTGCTTTGGGAAAGCAATATAATAATATATTGTTAATATTTGTTATGCCTTAGCAAAACCAATCTCAGTTAATAGTGGCTTTGCATAAGTATTAATTATTTCTCCTTTTTCTTTTCTTTTCTCATGTTTTTCTTAGGCATAGTTTTCTTTTTTAATTTTTGGTGTTTAAAAGAGAAAAATGCATATAGATTCAATAAAACATTTAGAGCTTAAAAAAACAGAATAAAATAAATTTTCCTCTTTCAGATTTACAATCTGAATGAACGTCTTGGGGGCAATAAAAAATGGGAGAGTATGGACACTAAACACTAAAGTATTGTAAAAATATTTAACATTTTATGAAAAAAATTTTATTCTTTAAACTTTAATTCAACTGAATTTTAAAGAATAAAATTTGGCTCCTAGAGTTGCATATAAGGTATGTAGAATGGGTATGTAGGATACAGTGGGTAGGAAAAAATAATAGTTTCTAACATTAACTTATATTTCACGGATCAATAGGTTATAGAAACTGAATTGCTTTACAGTGAAGGAAAAGAACAATGGAATAATAGCATAAACTCAGAGCATTATAATAAATAGAATTTCAGTTGGAATAATGATGGGAAAAATGAAGTAAGTAACATAATGCATATCAGATTAAATTAATATGTTTTTTGAAATTCATACATATGCAATCCTTTATAAGTAGGAATCATGTTTTTATGTTTAACTGGGAATGAGTAACTGGGAAATGTATTTTAAAGCGTAACAAGAATTTTTGTGACCTAAAACAATATAAGGAATTAATGCTAAAAGAAATAGGAAAGATGTAGTAATTGTTCTTTGTTTCTGAAAATTCTAGCAAACTTTTTTTAATGTACCCTGTTTTATACATTTTAGTGCAACACATTAACATGTTTTTAATTGAATTACTTCACTCCAAAAGATGCAGAAATTTAGTTCTTATATGTACATTTAATTATAACATGTTAACAGTTCACTGCAAAAATGCTGAAAGTTTTGAAATTTTAAAGCATTTAAGTCACTTGCGTATGCATAAACAAAATACTCATTTTATTTACATCATATTTTCCCCTTTAAAACTTAATCTTGGCATATTTGCTATTACAGCTTATGTTACATTGAAAAGTGTAGTGACATTGAAGTGTGTAAATAATTTTATATTTTGCTTTTACTATAGGATATTGTAGCAGAATGGATTGTGAATAGAATTTATCAGCTGGAAATTATGGAAAAGGTTTGAATATTTTTAAAATATGAGTTTCATTGGAAGTAGTGCATAGCAAATTTTATTTTTATGTAATATGTAATAAGTAAATTAATTTAAGTGTCATTTATTAACATGTAGGGGCTACCAGTGTGATTCATTTCTCCTTTTTAGTATTAAAAGTGATTTTTTGGCACAACAAAATTAATAATTTTTATTTAATTTATTATTATTATTTTTTTAAAAGACTTTTGTTACTGGACAAGTTAAGTGACATTTCTGTAGTTTTTCTAATCCCAAATTTAAACAGAACCAGAATAGATATAATAATCCAATTGTTTTCAATACATCCATTAAATCTCTAGGATTGTGCATTAGATTATGCAAATTTAGACTGCTGCAATAAATTTAGGAATCTATACATGGCTATGCATTCATGCCCTTAAGCTAATTGAGTAAAACTATTTGCCTGATAAAGCATGTAAGAGTTTCAAAAATAATCACTGCAGACAGTTTGGAAATTTCCTCTTGCATATGAAATGTATGACAGACCATGGAAATCTTCCTAGGTACTGTAATGTATTTTGCAGTAATTTACAAAACAGACAATCTTCTTAGTAGAACATAAATTTTATTTCTAGTTCACGGTGATAGACAAATTTTATACAATTCTTAAGTGGCAAAATTTTCATCCTACTCCTAGCTGTAAAATCTTCAGAATACTAATCTTTTTTTAACAATAACGTTGCTGAGTAACGGTTTGATACAAATATGGCGTTGCCACTTCAACAATAATTATACTTATTTATTAAATAACAAGATATTACGACCTCTCCCCCCTCCAGATAAACTTTTATAAATTAAAGTTTACGTTTTTTTTTTTTTTTTTCAAAACAACAATATCAGCACAATACATAATTGAAATACAAGATATAACATAATAAGATACACTGAGGAAGAGAGGAAGGAACAAAATATTTTTTTTTATCTACATAGAGAAACAAATTATTTAATCAGGCCAGGGAGTACAACTTAATGTGTCTACATTTTTATGGTTTTTACCACTTCGACGAATGATCGTGTAATTGTAGGGTTGTAGTACCAGTGCCCATCTCATAAGTCGTGGATTTAGACTCACATTATTTTTGAGCCAAACTAAGGGATTATGATCAGTCATGATGAGGAATTTAATATGCCCGTCTAAATAACATTGAAGTTTCTTTACAGCAAATATTATGGAGGCGATTCCTTTTCTGTTACAGCAACTTGTACTTTTTACAGCAACTATGTATGTATGTTACAGCAACTACTTTTTTTTCAGTTTCTGTAAATTTCTTACTGAGGTATAATACTGGATGTTCATTGTCTCGTTCATCTTTTTGAGCTAAAATGACAACCATACCAGAGTTTGACGCATCAGTTTGCAAAATAAACTCCTTATTGAAATCAGGTACATGTAGTATAGGCCTTTGAGACAGTTTCTCCTTTAGCTCTTCAAATGCTTTTGTGCACTCTTCTGTCCAATTTATTTTCCCTTTCTTTAAGTTTCCTTTCAAAGTTTCTGTTAAAGGTGCTGCGATAGATGAGAACATGGGAATGTAATGTTTATAATATCCCGCTAATCCTAAAAATGCTCTGACTTGACTTTTCGTGGATGGCACTGGAAAATCAAGAATAGCTTTTACTTTCACTTCACTTGGCATTCTTATACCACGACCTACAATATGTCCTAGATATTTTACTCTGTCTTGAGCAAATTTACATTTTATTGGTTTAATAGTTAAACCAGCGTCCTTTATTTTGGACAAAACGGCTTTCAGGTGACTTAGATGTTCTTCCCAGGTGTTTGAAAAGATTGCCACGTCATCTAAATATGGAACAGCAAAGTTTTCACAACCGTGAAGGATTTCGGCCATCATTTTACTAAATGAAAATGGTGCATTTTTAAGTCCGAAAGGCATCCGTAGAGGTCTAAATGTGCCAAAACTTGTAACAAAAGTGGCTAATCTTTGAACATTAGGTGTTAAAGGTATTTGCCAGTATCCCTTTGTTAAATCCAAAAGAGTTATATATTTTGCGCCTGCTACCGTTTCTACTCGTTGTTCAATGTTAGGCAAGGGGAAGAATTGTGTTTTAGTCAATTTATTCAATTTTCTATAGTCGATACAAGGTCTTGGATCCCTCCCTGCTACTTCTACTAAAATCATAGGAGAAGTGTAATCTGAATCTCTTATTTCAATTATTTTATGCTGAAGCATTTTATCAATTTCTGTTTTTAATATATCCGTTTGTCTAGGAGACATTCTGTATGGTTTACAGTGGATTGGGGTGTTTTCTGTCAATTGAGTATCATGCGTTATTAAATGAGTTTTTCCAAGTTTATTAGAAAAGATTTTTGAAAACTTCAGCAGCATATCATGCAATTCTTGAATCTGTTGTTCATTTAGCTTATCACTTAAGGAGCTGTTTTCTTTGATGTCCTCAAAATCGAACAATGTTGGTTCAGAGTTAATTGTTGGGAAATTTTCCTCCATATCATCAATTTCAGATTGATCTTCTGTAATCATAAGGTTAACCTATTCTGCTCGTCTATGATAGGGTTTTAGCATGTTAACATGGTAGACTTGGTTAAAGTCATTTTTTTCTTCGAAACTCACAACATAATTAGTTTCGGATAATTTCTTCTCAACCTTCCCAGGACCTTACCATTCAACTGCTAGTCTGTTTGGTTTATTCGTTGATACAACTAATACTAAATCCCCTTCAGAAAATTCTCTTTTTATAGCTTTACAATCGTACCACACCTTTCTTTTGGTTTGCATTTCCGGCATTTTATCTGTAGCCAGCTCTTTGCATCTTTTTAACCGATTTATCAATTGAAAAACGTATTCAACAACATTATTTCCTTCGTCTTTAGGATTCATCCATTGTTCATATAATAATGTTACAGGTGTTCTAAGATTTCGACCATATACTAATTCTACAAGTGTAAATCCCGTACTCTCGTGCGTTATTGTTCTTAAAGCAAATAAAGCTGCGGGAACTTGCTTCTCCACTCAGGGGCTGCTTTGATACATAAAACTTTTAAAATTCGTTTGATTGTTCGGTGAAATCTTTCAACAGGTTTGCTCTGCTGATGGTGTACTGAGCTTCTAGTTACTTTTATTCCAAATTTTTCTACAAATTCTATGGCTAGATTGCTCATAAAGGAGGTACCTTGATCAGTTTGTATTTCTTTTGGGAAACCCATTCTACTAAATATTTGTAACATGGCTTCAATTACTGACGTTGTGCCAATATTAGGAACAGGTACAGCATCCGGATATTTTGAAGCTAAACAAATAGCTGTAATTAAATATCTATTGCCATTCGGTGTTATTGGTAAAGGACCGCATGCGTCAAAATTAATTTTTGAAAATACTTCTGCAATAATTGGTACTAAAGTCAAAGGTGCTTTGGCTTTATCATTAGAGTTTCCCACTCTTTGACATGGATCACAAGTTTTAACATACTCTTCTATTTCTTTATAGCAATTAGGCCAGTAAAAGTATCTTGTTAATCTATCTTTAGTTTTCACGATGCCTAAATGTCCAGATGTGCTATCATGACATAATGACTTTATTTGATCCCTATATTTTTCAGGAATAACAATTAATTCCCTTTGAAATCATTTGTCTTGCTGAAATTTTCATCTTTAGCTTCGTTAAGCAATGACGCTAGATCTCTGCTTTGATGCTGATATTCAATTAATTCCTTTGAATTAACATTAATCACTTTCTTAATTTGCTTGTCTTCCTCATCAGCTTGCAAGTAAAATATCTTCGTCAGTGTCAATAAACGTCAATTCTTCTAGTTTCTCCATTTCAGTTTCTCTGCTTCGATCATTCTTCATGAGATCCTTTTACTTGAGATCGTGTCAAAATCGCATTTATTTTTTCTAAATTTAAGAATGATTTATTTTTGAACAATTGTGCAGTTTTGTTACCCAATACATATATTCCGGGATCATTTGTAACAACAGCTGCCTTTGTCTTTATATTACCAAGTTTGCAATTAATTTCAACTTCCGCTAACGTTAGACACACTAAATGGTCATTTAAAAGATATTGTACCCAGACATGTTCTCCAGTCATTTTTGCGTTATCTATGTATTTTCGAGAAATAACATCAACAGTGGCTCCTGTGTCTCGAAGAATAGGCATTTCATACCCATTCACTAAACCGTTAATTGTGTATGTCTCTAACAAATCATCATTTGAAGATACGCAATTTACCTTTTCATTTGGTTTTAAGCGAGGACACTGAGGCTTAAAATGTTCATATGATCCACACTCGAAACAACGTGGTCGATATCTTTTGTCATATAAATTTTCTTGGTTTTTGTTTTGGAACTGATTCCTTTGCTGATGATCTTTCTTGTATTTTGAATCATCCCATCTATCAGAATGCTTAAAATGAGGCGGATGCTCTATTTTTTTCACAAAATTATCATAACGCGGTTTAAATGATCCTTTGTTAAATTTCTCAGTCTGATTGGTAGAAAATTTCGGTTTTATTGTTTTTCTCACATCTTCAAAATCTTCAATTTTCTTAACCATTTCAGTAGGTGAAATGATGGTTGTCCATTGATCCATAAAATGTTCTTTGAAATCAGGAGAAGTACGCTTTTTTATTTGATCAACCAGCATGAGATCTTTTAGCTGTTCAAAAGTTTTAATGTTTAATCCGTTAAGCCATCCTTCTAAATAATTCTTTAATTCATAGTAGAAATCATACCAAGTACTTTCAGTAGATTTTTGGTGTTTATTAAATAGTTGTCGAAATTTTTCCGCAGTCAATTTAAATCGTTGTAACAGTAAAGTTTTTACATATTCATACTTTTTCGCTTCCTCTTCTGGTTCTCTAGCAATAAGCTGAACAATGTCAGGAGGCAGTAATGAAATAAGTTGAGTCACTTGATTTTCAGCAGGTATATTCATTATTTTAGCTTGACGCTCAAATAACACCAGGAATAAACTTATTTCATCTTCTTTAGGGTTGAAACGTGGCATGACATCGTGAATTCTGATTTTTAAAGGCTGCTCAGGTAACTGCGTAGTTTCTACCGGCTGTGCTGTGGCAGCCATTGCTTCCAGCTGAAGTTTCTGTAGCTCAAAGGCTCTAATTCGCTCTTCTCTTTCAAGCTCTTCTTTTCTTTCTTCTCTTTCTTCTCTTTCGCATTCCTTTACTCTTTCTTCTCTTTCGCGTTCTTCTCTTCTTTCTCTTTCTTCTCTTTCGCATTCTTTTTCTCTTTCTTCCCTTTCGCGTTCCTTTTCTCTTTCGCGTTCCTTTACTCTTTCTTCTCTTTCGCATTCTTCTTTTCGTTTCCTTTCTTCTCTAATTGCAGCCAGTAGTTCTCGAGTAAACTCCTCATCATAATCGGGACTTTCAGTAATCAGTTTATGCAACTGAGCAATCTTAAATTCAGGTTTCACGGTTAAACCTAACTCTTCTGCTAGTACTTTTAAATCCTGTTTTTTACTCCTAGCTAAGAATGACATGTTGACACAAGTTACTTTTAATAGGTTTCCTTTTGAAATTCAATCTAAAAGCTCGTACTTGTATAAAAAATATATAATTTCTGGCGAGATTTAATTTCTCGAATACGAAATTCACACTAACCAATTGGAGAGAATTATTTAAACAACTTTGCCAGGTTGGCACAAAATAATTTAATACTACGTCGGGTTGACGTTTTAACTCACTATTCACAAGCCTCGTTAGCTATAACTATATAAACACCTTTGCCAGTTAGGCAATACAATGGAATTTTACCAACATCAGTTTGACGATTTTACTATCTATATCCACGCCTGGTTGACGATAACAAAAACAATTTTTGCCAGTTTGGCAATACAACTTTTAGAATATACAATCTGTAATACGTCGCAATGACGTTACTATCTGTCACACGCCTGGATGGCGAGAACTAAGAAAAATTCTTTGCCAATTCAGCAGTATAATCAAATCACACTACATCAGTTTGACGTTATTACTTATTTTTCACCTGCCTGCTTGGCAACAAATCCAAAACTCAGCTAGCAGATCATTTTTATATAAACGCCGGGATGGCTTACACATATCAATTATCAACATAAAATTTCAATACAAATAAAAGTAAAGCATAAATAATAATTTTAAAATACTTCTTTACCACAAATATCAATTATAAATTTAAGCTGAATATTTTTAGTGTCAGTTATTTTAAACAAAATCTTACACGATAAACTATAATTCTGAAAAAAAGTATTAAAATTCAATAAAAGCTTTTTGAAGAAAACCAAAAGTTAATCTTATCTTCAGAGATCAGCAGTATCCGGTTTTGACAGATTTTTGCTCGGACGCAAGTTATAGAAGCACAGAAGATAACTTCTGAATGATCCGCTTTAAAATGGCAGACTTCTTACATCCATTTCTCCTTGAAATATACAAACTCGGCAATTGGTATTAGCAAACTTGTTCTAAAAAATTCAGCAAATTTCTGGGATTAGGAGACCAGCACCATCGAAATTGATAATTGCACTCCTAATTTCCAGTATCTCGGTGGAACCTCCAATTTATTAAGACTGTAATGTATTTTGCAGTAATTTACAAAACAGACAATCTTCTTAGTAGAACATAAATTTTATTTCTAGTTCACGGTGATAGACAAATTTTATACAATTCTTAAGTGGCAAAATTTTCATACTACTCCTAGCTGTAAAATCTTCAGAATACTAATCTTTTTTTAAACAATATCTCTCGTTGCTGAGTAACGGTTTGATACAAATATGGCATTGCCACTTCAACAATAATTATACTTATTTATTTATTAACAAGATATTACAGTACCAATCATGATTGGGAAAGGGATTTTTCCCTGTTACTTTATTACAAATTTTATCCATGGTAATTATTCCCTGGAATTTTAATAACTCGGATGAATTCAGAATGTCTGAAACTATTTTTCAGCCAAAGTCTCTGCAGTGTCATTCTGATTAAGATTATCATGAGATGCAATTTATTGAAGTACAACTCAGTAAATATGTAAAGTAATTCAATGCTCATATTGACTCTAATAGCCTTAAATTGTTTCAGATGTTGAGTTGAACTCTGACTACCTGACATGGGTACTCTTATTTAGATATGAGGAGGAATTAAAATATTCTTTAGGTTTCCAGGTTTCAGATTCAGATAATTGAAGTCAATAGCTCTTTATATATATATATTTAAAAAAACCCTTAATGGAACTAAACAGTGTTTCAATGAATAATAATACACATTTTGTCTTTAAAGTCTTAAATTTTTTCAGCCTTGCTAAGTGCCCTTTTCTCTGATTTTTTTAAAACTTCTGATGAAAGCTTCTGTAGCTTCTGAAAGCTACAGAAGCTTTCATTAATATAGAAGTAATGCAGAAGAAAAGAATCATTTTGAAAGATTTCATATTGTACTGAGATTTAGGGACTGCATGTTAAGCTTATGAGAAACTGTTTTATTTGAGCAAGTAGCATATAATCCAGTTATGATAAAAACTGTACATAGTATATGAAAACTGTACACATTTAGTCATTTGCAAATTAATTTTGGAAGCAGACTGATGCACTGGGAAACTATAATCTTAAATTTGTTTGTTTGGTGTTTTGTAGATCATTTTAGCTAAGCATTAGCTTCTCAATTAATACAGTTCATGATTCAAGATTTAGCACTTTTGCTAGATTTTCAACAGGCTTGTTACTATTAATTTTTAGGATTCAGAACATACTTTAAAATACTTTGAAAATTTGTTCCAGCATTAAAATTTTTTGCTTAAGAAAAAATTTTAGATTAAAGTTATACAAATATTTATTTACTATAAGCAAACCTGCCCAGATTTTAATGCATTAAAATTATATTTATATTGATAAACAAATCCAATTACCAATTGTAAGTCAGAAAAGAAACTTTTTATCTTAAGTTGTATGTATGCATTCCATTAAATTATTTTTTATTATAATCTTATTAAAAATAATTTTTTCCAACATTAATAATTAGAATTAAATAGCAGATTGCAATTTACCCACTAAAGGAGAAAATATAATATTTATAAACACATTAATAGCATCTCCTAAAAGGAAGTTAAAAATTTGCAAATATATTTAAATGATGCAAAATAGAAAATAAATAAGCTAGTGTTATAGCAGTTGGAAATCAAAATGATGAAAGTAAGAAGAAGTAATAGAAAAGCGAAAAAGAGTGAATTTAAGGGGAAGAGTTTGTTTCATTTGGAGAGGGAGGTATGCTAAATAACTTTCTATTTATATTTCCCAAAACCTTTCATGGTAAAGTTTTAATTTACATTTTCTCAAAAATAGTTTGCATAACGAATAATATGTACCAAAGTTATGTCCCATTTATTATGCCAAAGTTAAATTTAGTAGGATCAGGAAATTACTTTTTGTTGTAATGTTAGTATTGATAACTTGTGAAAAAATTAAAGGAAACACTGTTATATTGATTAAGCATTATATATTAGGTATCGATAAATTTTAAGCAGCTTCTTTCAGTAAGAAATAATGAAATACATTTTCTTGAAGTTCAGAAGGTTTAAATTCCTTGTAGGAAGATAACTTTACTAAATAAGAAAAAGTGTTTTGAGGAAGGTAGATGAACTGCAGAAAATTAAGTGTATCTCATCAAAATTCTCTTCTGATTAGGAATTAAGTAGGTAGCAATATTCAAAGTTGCAATATTCAAATTTTATTAAAATATTTTTAGATAGTAATATTCAAAGCTGTTTTATATTTTATTAAAATATTTTCATTACTATGCTATGGTCTTAATAAGTTAAACCTGTAATATTTATCTTGCATTTCATGAAAAAAGTTGTTGAATCACTTATTAGGTATAATTTTCTTACTGTTTAAGTATTTTTTTTCAAGGAATTTCTTACTGACAGATATTATTAGCATTATTTCATAACAATTAGGTGTTTCAGATTTGGTTTATTTGTATAATTTTCCTATTTGTTCCAGAATTTGTGGCCTGAAAATGGTAAAGAACTGATAAACATGTTTCTAGTAATTATTCGAAGCTTGTATGCAAAAGGAGAAAGAGGTGAAATAAGTTTCTCGACAAGTTTAGCATGTGTATCTATTTATGTAAGTAAATAATATATCTTAAAGTTTTAAACTTATATTTAGTTTTATCACCTAAATGTTTAAAATATTGTGCTAGTAGCCAGATAGTAGTATAGAGAGTTGCATGATTTTTCAAATTTTTGCGATAATTTTATGAAAATACTTTTATTAAACAGGAAAAAATCATTAATCCTGAATGCCCTATTGGTCGCTTAAATGAACTTTATTATATACTGGAGTTGTTAGAAACTTTGAAAAATGACTTCAATTGCAAAATACCATTGAATAGTTTTGAGGTATGGATAGTTTTAGGTAAAATATATTTCAATATTTAATTTTTTTTTGCGTGTGTGTGTTACCAACTTGTATTTAATATCATGTCTTTTAATCACAGGATAATAAAATGGGTATCATATTTACTGTGATGGACAGCATAGATCTAAAGTTCCTTGTTCAAGCTGTTGACAAATTTGCAAGGCCATATTCTATAGAGAATAATTTTGATCTAGATTTATGCCTTGAACTGTTTGTTAAGGTAAGACATTAAAAAATGTTTATTAAGTTCTATGAAAATATTCTAGTAGTGTCATCAGTTTTGGGAATAAAATCTTAGTCTTTGGTTTTACTGTCAATATTTGTTGAAGAAACATCATTGCTAAGGTAACTGGGAGTTATACTAGATTTAGTATACTTCATTTAGTGTGTGCAGAATTCCATGCCAATTAATTATAAAGTTTTAGTATATTAGAATTAAAATGTGTGAATACTTTTCTTTTCTAAATGTATAAGTAAATAAAAATAAAATAAAATAAAAAAATAATAATAAAAAATAATTCTCTAATACTCCTATGCGGTAGAAATTAGGTTAGGAAATTTTTGCACCTTGTAAGAATATTGTGAGGGAGGGGAGGGAAGTACAGTACAATGTCTGTAATCCGGACGTCCATTATCCGGAATGATCTATAATCTGGACATCAAAGCCACAAACTTACACATGTGCATAATGTGTTTACGCATGCGCGTTTGATGCACGCTTCCGCTACGCATATGCGCATAAAGCCAGTAAAGCATTTACCCATTTGTGCTTCCGATAGTGAAGAAAGTAACAGAGAACCTTATTGAAAACGAAAAAATTTCAATTGAAAAGTTAGTCTGTGTTCTTGACACAGCAATTACGGAATTTGAACAGTGAAACTTTGTAGCTGAACAAGAAATTATGTCTGTTTATAGAATTAAAGAGAAAGTATTAGCACAAAAAACGAAGCAACTTAAACAACTTACATTGATAGAAATGTTTACTAAAGTAAACAGATATTAAGCTTTTTTTTTTTTGTAAATTTTGATACCTTTTAGATCATAATTGCTCTTTATTTCATAAATTACGGTTTCATATTTTTAATTGTATAATTTCTGCATGCCATCTTACCAGATTTAAATTGATGATTTATAATCTAGAAAAACCCCTAATCCGAAGTCCCGATGAGTCCGGATTTCGGACTTTCTACTGTGTATTTTTCTTTTACTTTACTAAATGTGCTACAGACATTTTTTGTGTAATTTTGTATTATTATTTTTGCTAAATTCCTTCAGTTAGTTTTAATCAGCTGAGATGAAATTAGAATTTTGAATACCTTAAAATCCTGTATAGTATTTTTATAATTTAAAACATTATATGGTTGTATTTTTAAGTGTGCTTGCAATTGAAAAATTTTCGAGCAAAAATGTTGAAAATAAATGTGCATCATATATATATATTATTATATCTCTGTCTGCAAGTTCATTGTTGGAGGAAATAGTACTGTATTAGATAGTAATTTTATTTCCCATGATTTTATATGGATAAAAATAGATGACTTTCAGAATTTCTCTTTGAATGGAATATGTACTACAGTCAAAAGTCTTTAATCTGGACGTCCATAATCCGGACCTCAAAGCTACAAATTTTCTGAGCATGCGTCAATGCATATTGCATTAACACTGCGCATAATACGTTTACACATGCGCTTTTAATGTATACCGGACGGTATAAGCTAAGCTAAAATTATCTAATTATCTATTTCAGTTAATGTTGCAGATTGCATTGTTCCTTAATCTTCTAATTGGATCCAGCTTATTATTTTTTTGCTGCAGACTGTTAGAGCAATTTTATAAAAGTAAGCTTGAGCTTTCGATTATGTCAAAAAGAATTTTCGATTCTAGAGCTAATTTCAATTGAAAAATTCTAGAGCTAATTCTAGAGCTAATTTCAATTGAAAAGTTAGTCGGTGTTCTTGACACAGCAATTATGGGATTTGAACAGTTAAACTTTGTAGCTGAACAAGAAATTATGTCTGTTTATAGAATTAAATAGAAGGTATTAGCACAAAAAACAAAGCAACTTTAATTGTTATGCATACAAAGCGAAAGTAAGTTTCGATGTCCATCAAACAAAAAGTGGAATTGCTGCAAAAAATGGATAAAGGCATATCCTTTGCTTCTCTAATCATTCCAAAATATGTTTATCAATTTCATGCTGCTCTGTGGGGGGGGGGACGTGCAATTAACTAAAAGTTGATCTGTCAGCACTATCCTTATCTTCAGGGTAGATGTTTTTATTTTATTTGGCTTATAATTCCTTACTAAATGTAGTATTTCATCTCGATGTACTCCGTCTTTGATATGATTTAAATCAAATTCCTCGTCATTATAAATATCACGAATACACATCAAATAGTTTTCTGGTTGCAATTTTCTAATTTCAACTATGCATAATGTATGCTTTATGCATGCGCGTGCTGAAAGAAATGTTTAATAAAGTGAACAAATAAATATAAACCTTTTTTTTTTTTTTTTTTTTTTTTTTTTGTAAATTTTGATACCCTTTAGATCATAATTGCTCTTTATTTCATAAATTACGGTTTCATATTTTTATTTTTTTAATTTCTGCATGCCATCTTACCAGATTTAAACTGATTATCAGTAATCCGGAAAAACCGGTAATCCAGAATCGGGGAAGTCCCGACGAGTCCGGATTAAAGACTTTTGACTGTATTCAACTATCACATTACTTTCCATGCACTGCTGAATTCAGTTTCATCGTTTATAGAAAAGTTCTTGATAGCAGTAGTTACATCATCTATTACATGAGGTGTGACCAATTTTCTGTCAGTTTAAGCTTTAATAAGAACAGATCCAATGTTTTAAAAGTATTTAGTCTTTTAACATAGTAATAAGGAATTTTTAAAGAAATTGTTATGCATATTATTTGTCACAAAATGCATATGAATCCATTAATGTAGGTAGGTACGTCTAAGTGTATAGGCCACCCAATATATACCACTAATGAGTAGGTATTGACCTCATACACTACATATCCAGATAACAACAAGCTTTCAGAGAATCCTGACATTTTCAGATGGCACAATGATGATTCTGATAACTCTGTCATCTTCAGAAGAAGCATTATGATGATAATTAACTTACATAAGGAGTCTTGGTATTTAACTTGTACTGCAAAGTTTTTGGGAGTCTAGCAGCTAGGAAAGCCATAATTTTTCCAATTTAGTACCTTGTATATTTGTTTCTTATTATAAATCTTAGAAAAGGTAAAAGTTTCTACTTTTTTTTTCCTTCTGTTTTTGGCAATAGATTATATGCTCTTCTTCCTGCATCAGTGGTATCTCATTGTTGCTGTAAATATATACTAGCAGTTCATAATTTTTATATTTTAATTGTGAAACTGGCCTTGAAATATAAATTTTTATATCAGATAAACCTTGGAATGCTTCTTTAGTTAACTGATCTGCGTCCTCTTTGCCTTTGTGTCTAGTATGAGCTCTTATCCGAATTATGTAAAAATGTTGACCTTGGCCTTTAACCCATTAACCGCCAAAATTACAAGGAATGTTTCTTTTCTCATGAAAATAGTAACAAATATTAAATTAAGCATTTATAACATAAATTTACATTGAAAATTAAAAAAAATGCTCTTACCTGTGGAAAAATCAAGTGTTGCGTTCACGCAACGTCAGCGGAATAAGACTACGGATCTTTAGTGAATAGGATTGTACTCATGTGATGTTTCTTTTGAGTGGAGCGCAGGATTACTTTTCAGCTGTATAACGTTTTATAAATCTACAAATCACTTTACTTGTTATTAATTTAATATTAAAATATACATTGTATTTCTTTTACAAATACAGATTATTTAATTTGAAAGATTCAAGCATGAAAAGCTTGATTACGATCATGATGTAAAGCTACATTACATACTTTGCATCAATAAACAGTCTGGCTATGGTACTCTTTACAACAAAGTCTTTTGTTATCAACGGACTTTACGATAAAATGCCTACCATCTCCATGCAATGGTTTTTGAATGCTGAATTTACTAGGTGTTCCTAATGCTGATCTATTTCTTGGCTAGTTCTACGCTCTCAATAGGAGTTTGCAAAAGAAATAATGCATTCTTCTTGTGAAATCTAAAAGAGACTTTATATTTCCAGTAGTAGAAAGTGGTGATATTTAGTAAGTTTAGATAGGCATAACTAACAGTTCCTTTTTTATCCACTTCAAGATTTCAGTCTTCTGCTTTTTAAACTTTTTAGTATGACTATAACTGCTTTTAGAAGGCTGAAACTTACTTCTTACGTGAATTTCAACTTCCCCAGCAGTATCATTTGGCAAAATATCATTATCATTATTTAAAACAGCCATTCCTTTCTTCTTCGTCACTAGCCTCTGCAATTTCTAAGGTAACAACAACAATATCAATTCATTCTGGTCATTATTAACATTATCATCTTCTGTTTCTTCATCAAAAAATCTTGAAGGGCTTCTTCTTATGTAAGATAACTTGTTCTAGGTATTTTTAAACAATCAGAACATGAACCAGAACATCGAAAGGAATGAGTCAAAAAGGAGATTGACTACCCGTTTCCTACTGACGTTGCGTCAACGCAACACCTTTTTCCCCTTCCTTCCCAAAACAAATATAAACATCTGACTGATGTAATGTTCTGATAAACGGTGACCTTGACTAGAAATAGATCACTCATAAAGACGGCGATTCTTTCGTTAAATATTTTCAGCAAAAATACCCGGTCGAAAATTTTGCTTAAAGTATGAGATTAATTATTATAAACAAAATGATTGTTGAAAGCAAATATTTTTTACAGAAATAATCTTCATAATATTCCCTACACAAAATCATCTGCTGGTATAAAATATCTTAGGTAGTTATATTTATATACGCATTTATTTTGACCGTTGCGTCAACGCAACACCAGCAGTTACTGGGTTAAAGAATTTATCTATAACTTCTTGAATAAGTGATCACTTATTGCTTGTGTTAGCAATGTCATCCACTGCAGGTAAGCAGTCAGTATAAATATATGTATCTGAGAAACGTTTGGTTACGCTTTACTCAATTGCTTGAAGAATTGCATAGATTTCTTGGAAAACACTGTTTTCTTTGTTAAATTGGTATTTAAAATCTTGTGATTCTAAATCATTATAATATATTTTAATAGAACACCTTTTTCCATTGTTGATACC